GGTGAAGTTGCACAACCTCATCAGCAAGAGCTGCTCTGAGTACCCCAGCGTATGAGGGATATTTCACCTTGCTTCCTGATTAACTCTCAGTATCATGTTATCACAATGCCTGCAGCTTTGGCTTACATCAAAAATCACCTAGAAATCAGTAGAAATTCCAGGGTCAGGTTGTCCCTGGAACTGCTGGTAATGCCCTCGTATATTTCTTATACTTCTTTTTTCCTGTCCTTTCTCTAGTGTTGTTGGACTAAGCTTTGACTTTCTAGCATTAAACCTTACTGGCTTTATAGCCTACAGTGTGTTTAATGTTGGGCTCTTCTGGATTCCCTTGATTAAGGTAAGCACAATTACCTCTTAGTACCTGTTGGGAGGGCAGTTGGGTGTATCTATAGATTAAGACATTTGGCTGGTTTTGCTTTTTCTGACGTTTAGGAGGAATTCTTAGTCAGTTATCCCAGTGGGGTGAACCCCGTGGCTATCAACGATGTTTTCTTCAGTCTCCACGCAGTAGCTCTAACTCTCCTCACCGTGATTCAGTGCTGCATCTACGAGGTAAGAAGTCTCGATCCTGAGCTCCCTCTGCCGGGCACCTCACCTCTGCCTTTGAGCTCCAAACTCATTACACTTCCACTGGCCTTTCAAGCAGTCAGGCTTCACAGTCCAGCTGCCTTATCTTTCCTGAGCTAGTAGCAACTCCAGTAGGCTTAGCTACTTCAGCCTCATGGATGTTTTGAGCTTATAAGTAAACTCCTTAGGGACTCAAAATAACTAAGGCAAACAGCCAAGTTCACAAAGTTCCCAAACAGATCTCTAAACAGCACAAAGATTACAGCTCTGCACAGTACAAATGCTGGTATGTGCTCTGCTGTTTCCTCACTACTTGGAGCATTCTTCAAGCTAGGATGGAACTTCATGCAATTCAAACTTTCAGGTTTTTTTTCAACTGCTCTTTTTCCCAATGGCTGCAAAGGCCCTTCTGTAGTTCCAACCCTTTTCAGGTGAGACTGGTTGTTAGAGTCTGATGGTTCTCTACGTAATTCCCATTGTAAAAGCCTCTAAAGAGCCAGGTTTCTTCAGATGGTGACTGTTTAGGTCTTGGTGTTTCCTCTGGTGATGCTAAACCTAAAACTGTAACAGCCCATGTCACCACTGCTAGGTGGATTAGCCTTTTCTAGTGAAGGATTAGAAGGCCACCATGGATCTCTTACTGTAATGGCATTAGCAGCCTTTTGCATATCTAGGAACTCTTGATATCAGCAGATAGAACTCAGGGGGTTGTCACAGATGTGGCACTGAAATAGGCATCATAAATACTCAAGGATAAGGCCACAATATTGTTTCCCACTTCCTCATGGACAATAATCTTCCAAATGACTGATGAATATTGCTTATCAGCTCCTGCAAACCTATAGCTGGTTGCTGTAGCTCTCCTTTAATTTTAAAATTCCCTAGTGGTGTAAGCCTAACTGCTACAACAGGTTTGGACAGTCCTGAGCATTTTGTGCATCATAGTGTGTCTGGGGATGCATGACCTAGGTATCTGCGTTTCTGTTTCAGAGAGCAGGTCAGAAAGTATCCAAAGTTGTTGTTGGACTACTGGCACTTGCGTGGATCTTCACGTTTACAACACTGTTCCTTGCTGCAGCTGAGGAAATGACGTGGCTACAGTTTTTATTCTGCTTCTCTTACATTAAGTTAGCAGTCACGCTGATAAAGTATTTCCCACAGGTAACTCTCAAGTTTTCTGCTTTCGTGCTGTATTCCCGTCTCCTAAGCCTGCAGCGCATGCTCTTGGAAATCTGACTAGACTACACCAACAACTTAAGTCTTGTAGTGACAAAACCCATAGTTACACAGAAGGCTTCTTAAATGCTAATCTCAAAAACGCTTGTCCATGACATGCTGACCAGCTTCCTGTTATACCCTCAGGCATACATGAATTTCTGTCGGAAGAGTACAGAGGGATGGAGTATTGGAAATGTGTTACTAGACTTCACAGGTGGAAGCTTCAGCCTTCTCCAGATGTTTTTACAGTCCTACAACAATGGTAAGGATGGAACTGAGGTGGTGGGGCCTTTCTTAATGGGGTGGGAGAATCCTGCTATAAAGCAGATGATAGAAACCAGTAGGTCATCTCAGGAGAATGACATGCTACAGAATGGGTGGCTGTTCTTATACTAAGAACAAAGAATCTGTTTGCTTTCCTTCAAGATCAAAAGAAATAGCTGTTCTGAAGAAACCAGAGGAACAGTTATTAGCTCTGTAGAAGATGTACACTACAGTCAGCCTCAAGGTGTCTTCTGGGTAGTAAACATGAAGTTCTGAGTACAGCATGACTGCGTACTCTTAAGACAAGGCTACACGTGAAGAGTTAGTCTTAATTCTCTAATTCTGTGCTTGACAGATCAGTGGAAGCTAATCTTTGGAGATCCAACCAAGTTTGGCCTGGGTGTCTTCTCCATCATCTTCGATATTGTTTTTATGGTCCAGCACTACTGCCTTTACAGGGGACGGGGGTATGAACCTTGTGAATAACATCACTGCTGAAGACACACTTTCAACCAAACTTACTCCTGCCCTGGCTGAGGGCTCTGAAGGTGCCTACTGCCAGTTACCGGACATACTGAATCTGATCCTCTCTGGTATGGAATGCAAGCTGTTGCCTCTCCAAATGCTGACTGCCAGGTGCCTTAAAGGACAGCAAGCTCTCTAGCTGCCACTTGCAAATGGAAGACCTGTGCCTGTGGAAGCTGCAAAGACACCTTCGAGTGAGCTGTCCAAGCAAGGTGTGGCTCTTTCCAGTAATAGGAAAGATCAGAATGACATCTTTCTGTTTGGAAGTGAGGCACAAAAAGCGGAGTTCTGCTTCCAAAAAAATCTGAGATCCTGTTTAAACCATTTAGTATCTTAATGTAATGACAGAAGACTGGATGTAAGTGCTGCTGTCAACACCTCACAGACACATCACAGTAGTAGAACACCACTCAGGCTGGCTGTTACCAGCTGTAGTGGCACACACAAGAGTAACCAGGTTCGTAGCAAACACAAGTGTAAGAACCTGAATTCCTCATTAAAGAAAATGCTGAAAGTGTGGCTTTTTCAGGGAAACACCTTTCAAAGGTGCTAAGACAAGTGCTCAGGTTTACCTGAACACTTCTAGCACACTAACTTCATTCTGCTCAATTCTACTGACATGCCTTGAATCCTAAATGGTGGATGGTAAACATTTGTCAAAGAGATTATTTTTAAGTGTATCATGTTAATTAAACAGCCCCATGACTAATGTTTAAACATGTGCTTTTCTTTCTGGGTAACTCGAGCTATACGTGGTAGGTTATAGACAGAAATCAAGGTCTTGAGTTACTGAAGGTAAGAATTATACCCTTTAGAAGAACTGAAGGGGACTCCATGCATTTGCACTTGAACACTGATATGTCTTACTAGGTGTCAGGCTGAAGATAACTAGAACCCATTCTCCCCCTGCTAGAGAGCAGGTGAGGTTTGACAGCTCACCAACACTGCAGCTTCCCACCAGTGAATCTGACCTCAGGCTGCATTGCACCAAAATCAGCAATCTACTTTGAGCCTGAAGAGCTGTCAGCGGGAGGCACTGGAGAGACATGGCCTTCTTAACTGTAAGGAGAAACAGCTCAGGAAATCCAACTCTCTTTTATTGTGTGTAAAATCAATTGGAATAGCAGTACAAATAGGAGTGTATCTTTATAGTAACAAAAATAACTTCAACTTGAAAGCTTTAAAAATTTACCACTGAATTCTTACATTACAAAAGTCAGAAGCAGTTTTGTAGCAATTCCATAGATAGAAAAATGCTAAACAGGCATCTGCTGGTGCACAGAGAACAGTCTGAGATGCAGTAGTCAACACAGGTACATGGCACAGCAGTAATGTACTGAATAAGTTAGTCTGCCACCTCCTCGTGTTCTGTTTACAACAGCTTACCTGAAGACTGCTGAAGTATAGATACATATAAATCAACCAAAAGGGGTTAGGAACTCCAGTTTTTGGGTAATTGCAAAGCCAGCTGGCTAACAAACCGCTAGGGTGCTAGATAATTAACTTAGTGTTGCAGCAAGAATCTTGAAATCCTGTGGCACGTTGATTTAACCAAAGTAATACCTTCCCAGAAGTTTAAATTTGGACAAGAGGCACTTTTGGGAGTTACTGGCATATTCATCTCTTCCATCTAATAAATTGGTGATTTAAGTAAAGCTGCCTAGAAGACAGACCAAAATCTACCCCTTCCATTTCCAGTCTAATAGATGCGGAATGAAGAACTGAAGGCTCTACAGCCATGAGCAGCTCTTCTGGTAAGTTCAGCAACTGTTTTCTTTCCTGCTCCATGCACCTTTCACTTAAACTCGACTCGCTTGATGTTAAATTGCTGGGGAACAAGGAGAAGGAAGGTTTTACTCTGACATCGAAGTTAAACTGTAGTGTCCATGAACTTTTAGTGTACTTCAGAGGTATTAATCTAACAGTTCTGTGTTATTTAATTGTTTCTTGTCTGAAGAGGCCACTTCTACAGGGAATCTCTGCAGTAATAATGCCCCAAATCCTTCAACATACGCATAGCTAGCACAGTGTGAGGTTAGTACAGTGCTCCTCCCCACGGCAGTGGGCAACTCTTAATCCTGGCATTTTCATTTGCTAGCATGGGAGGACAGGACAGCTTAGGCACAGCAAACCCTCTTATCTTCCACAGCAGAAACCACGTTTCCTCTGAAAAGAAGTTGTTTTTGTGCTACAAAATCCTGTCAAAGCTAAGGTTTTTCCAGTTGCTTCCTTAAACAACTAGGATTTTTCCATGTCATAGAATCATAGAATGGTTTGGGTTGGAAGGGACCTTAAAGATCATCTAGTTCCAACTCCCCTGCCATGGGCAGGGACACCTTGCACTAGACCATGTCCTCCTGAAAGTCATGACTACAATAAAGTCTTGCCATGTACCTGCAGGGAAGACCTTAGAGAAGCACTCCTGCTGGGGGGGACTAGAGTTTTGCTACTGCCAGTTACACCAAAGAAAGGGGAAAAAAAAGTGTTTACCACAGTTAGGAACATGCACTCATCCAGACAACTGTTCAGGCCTAGTATTTGCTTCCTTCTTGCCACCAGTCTACACCTCTCCCTCCCCAGCTCGGCTGATTAGGGCATCATGGACTGTTGCACAGCCTTCTGCAGAGATTGCCTGGTCACCAGCAGCCGCACCACCTCCTCATTCCTTTTGGTCAGCCTCTTCCTAGCTTGGTCGTGGGTCACCATTGTCATATCCCAGCCATTCACCTAAGGAAAAACCCACAGGGTGAGGCAGGGGCATGGACCCACAGGTCTCCTAAAACTGTTCTACCAGAACCTTGTAGCAGCCAGGCTCATGCCACAGCTCAGTTTGCGAGTCCCACAAACCGTCCCAGGAAGCACCCAGAGGACAGTGCTTCCCCCAGCAGAGAGCTGTAGCATGCACCTCGTACGACACTGGTGCTTGTCCTGCCTGCGCTCACCTGCATGATCTTATCTCCGATCTGAAGTCCTGCAACTTCTGCTGGGCCTCCTTCTGTCACCCTCGTTACATAGATACCCTGAAAAAAAAAAGTGTTTATTTACTAAATACGGGAGCACTAAATACTCAAGGGCCAGCCTACTGACAACGCAAAAACATCTTTGTAGTATATTATGGGATTTTAGTTAACACCAGGTTTGTGCAGCGTCGGAAGACAGAGGAGGTGGAGAGCTAACTCAAAGGCAGCTCAGTCTGCAGGTGGTGACGTGGCAGCCTTGGCAGTCAGCGACACGAGGGGACAGAACAGAGATGCCGGCAGTGCTTGCTGGGCGAGCTGGCTGTGCTCGGCCTTTGCTGGGGGTAGCTGCTGCAGCAGAGAGAGCATCTGACCTTGTCAGTCTTGTCTTCAGAGAAAGGATTCTGAGCAGGATCCTGGTCGATGCCACCTCCGATGCTGAATCCCAGAATCAAGTTGTCACCTTGACGAAGCTTATGTATTTCAATTCTTTGCTGAAAAGAGAAAAAGTGAGCTGAGTACTGTGATCACTGGAGTAAGTCTCAGTTGTGTTTCAGACAGTACTTAGAGGCAGTTAGACTCTTTCACAGGGGTACCACCAGCCTACGGCAGGCTGCAGCACAGCTCGCTGGGCTTACAGTGCGCAGGAAGACGGCTCTAAAAGCCCCTGGCAGCAGGGAGCTGTCACATGGCACCTGCTGCCAGTCACATACAACCCTGGTGTTGACAACCGGCTCTGAACTGTTCCATACCGCAGAACAGTGGGACAGGAAACCGTCGGCAAGCTCATCCCAAGGGCACTCATGCCGTGATACAGCCAAGTCCGAAACTACTCTGTGCTTTACCACCGCTCGGGGATACAAAGGGAGAAGACTCGGAGCAGGCCTCTTCAAACACAAGCCGCATCTTGAGAAGGAGCAGTCGCCCCCAGCTCCACTCCCTTTGCTCTTTACCCACGTGCCTTGTGTCCTGTTACCCGGTGGGGATAACAACCTATTAGTTGGGTGGTTCTTTTGAAAGAGAAGTTATTGACACACGTTTATAATGCAGAGGTAGGTTCCTTGCTGCCTGATGGCCGCAGGTACCTGACAAGCTTTACGTGTTATCAAAGAGCTCTGTCAGCGCCGGGCTGTGCCGCTGCTGAGCCCAGGTTAGCCACAGCCGTACTGAAACAACCTCCGCTCCGACGGTTCTTCAGCCCGACCTGCTGGAAGGTGTCCCTGCTCACGGCAGGGGGGTAGGCTGGATGGCCTTTACAGGTCCCTTCTAAGCCAAAGCACCACCAGACGCTGGGCACGGGATCTCACGAGGATGCAGGCGGCTTGGTCAGCGCGGGACAACCCCCGTGTCCTCAGGGCTGTCCTGAGCTGCTGCGCGCTCCAGCCGCCGTCCCGGTCACACCGCCCAAAGCACGGTTCGGTATTCCCACCGCGGGAGAAACAACGCAGCGCCCCGCTTGTCCATTCAAGCGGTGAATGACGCCGACGGCTCTGCCCCACCAAGCACCCAAGGCAGGT